GAAACAAGACCTTGCGACGGTCCGTCGTGCCCATGACGGTCCATCGTGGGGTCCGTCGCCTCAGTCTGTTTTTCCAGAAATAAAATCTGCTGCTCAAAACGACTAAACGGGTCGTTACATTAACGAAAGACAATTATCCATCAAGTTATTCATATTCACACCACCTATGAGAAATTTTATACTCTAATCTCTTTTCAACCAACACCAATGTAATAATAGTATCCATAAAACAAACATTAACCATTTTACTAAGCAATAACTGTACATAGACAATATTTAATAGAAATATCGAAACATTACCTGAATGCAGAGCCGACATTCTTCATTATCAAAATGTATGTTTTCTCTCTTTCTAATTAGTTCACCTTATAATAATATTTTAACTCTTCAACTCACCATGATTTCAATAGCCTTTAATAAATATTCTATACATATGCACCCTTTAACTTTATAATATAATATAATAATGTAATTGTTGCCTTAAAACTCGTCCTATACGGCTAATGATCATTGCCATTATTAAATTATTAATCCTACAATCTGTGTTCATACATATAAAATATACGAAGATTAATTCCTTACCTGAAATTGTCGTCCTTCTTCGAAGCTGCTCTGCGGTCTCCCTTTTCTTATTTTCTTCCTTTTTCTAAAGACAAACTTCTACCCTAATTATCATATAATCAACTATACAATTTGATAAAAGTGACCCATTATTTATTTTAATATTATTTTCTTAACCACTAACTAAATAAATTAATAAAACTACCCCATTAATTTCATAGTTATAATTATGAATAGTCTAAAACACCCATTTAAATCTATCGAAAAGTATTTTCTGACATAAAAGTTCTAGTGCTCAAAACGATCAAAAATGGTCGTTACAATAGATACCAATTTACCCATCGTTCGTCTTCGAACGATCAAAAGAAGGGCGAGGCAAGAAAGGGTAGTTGTCTCAAAAGTTCATTCGAAATAGTAGTACCTTGGTCTTATATCAAAAGTGTTAAACCAATCAATTAAAGATCTACACCTCCTCATAACAATGCCTTAAATGGGTCCATCTCACTACTCTAGGAATAATTATTGATGTATGTAAACTCAACTAACAACAAAACTATTTCTAATAATGGACTTTTCAACCGATCTATTCTCCAACTAGACCTTGACACAACCATCTGAACAAATATTATCTAACATTACCACGATAAAATTTTAAAGCAAAAGTGGCTACAACCAGAAGTGGATTTTAACCAACTACCACACACTCATAATGCACAAACAATCACAAATCTTATCAGGATTTTTTTTTCACAACACAATCTCATCACAAGCTTAAGTGATGAAAATATTAGCTTTAGACATCGATTACTCATCAAGGGAGAGTCAACATATCTAACCCAGGGAAGAATAATATCAAGTAAACACCAACAAGGGATACATTTCAAAATGCAGAACCTCTAACATTACTATTAGGCAATTGTAACTCTTCATAGCCGCTCTTATATAGATTCTCATAAGCAAGTTTGTGCGTATAGAACTACTGATATACTTTAGTTATTCCAAACAACACAAATTCTATCATAACTAAAATATCAAGTTTGCCCAAGGATCCTACCCTATCAAGAGGACACAAGAAGATCTTTACATCCGATTCACCACTAGAAATCAACCCATAGATGTGAAAACACGTGTGGACGTAGAAAATAAATCATACTCTAAATCACACTCGAAATGAAGTAGTTGTTCACGTAAGAGTGTATATAACCAAGGTTGAATAACTTCAGATATATTTTTTTTTCCAATAGTTTCCATATCAAACATCTTCATTCATCTGACTCTATCTCTTTGATTTTTTAGCTATCCACAATCACCAATGTAGTCACTTTTATAATTGCACACATACTTACTTTATCGAACCCTACATCCACTGAAGTCGACACTTTTAGTACTAACAAAACATAATAACCATATCGATCATCTACCTTACTCCCAAATCACCATCATTATCTTCTATTTAAGCATTTCATGACAACTACGAGTTCCAAACAAGGCTACTAACATTATTTAAAATTCGATAGTACCTTTTCATCATGATAAACTATTAAATCAAACTATAAGTCAACCTCACACCACTTCCACATATCATGCTTTAGCTACCCTTCTAAACCATCACATACCTCATGCCAACACTTAGGATGTTTCTTGGTCATTCAAATTATTATGTATCCTATTTGCTCATAACCTCTATTCACCATTAAATATCTATGTAACACATCATAATATTCTATGTAATCCCATCAATAGAGTAGTATTATTCCAACTCTAAATTCTTAATAACCATGTAGAATTATATTACACCTTATGCATCATTCTTAAGTCATTTATCCAAATTTGAGCAATCTAACCCCATGTAAAATACTAAATTCTTCATGCCTCATTGTTTGCAATCCAAATCAAAACTCAATCTTTATAAAAGTCGATGATAAATTCTAGTAAGTCTATATCGAACAACTTCACATCTCACATTCATATCTAAACTCATAGGCAAAAATCAATACAACCATCAACTACAACCCATGGGTTTATACGAGAGGTCTCATTCCTTCACTTTTCTCAAATTCTTCTCATGGTACAAAATTCTATTCGACCCTTCAATATATCAATATTCTTGTTTCTTTAGATCACTCATCGATCTCGTCATTTTACCAACAACCCATGACATTTTACTTCACATTCTGAATCAAAACTCAGAAGAAAACTCTTCTTAGATCCTTTAACAATCAAAAGTAATAAACTTTATGATCCAAAACATGCATAAGTTCTTTCACATGCTTAATACCGATGCAAGCAATCATTTATTACCTTACAAATTCATACCTTGAAAAAAAACACCAAGAATGCAGACTTATAATGAAAAGTTTGAATTTTAAGTCCAATTGGGTAACTCAATACCCTTATGTATCTACATTTGCTTATACTTTGAAGACTTTTATAATTACCTTATCTTAGCTTATCATTGATTGCCTCTCCAACAACCATACCATATGCTTCACTAAAAAGATCCAACCCTACTCATTTCTAAATTCAATAGTACAACAGAACTTATCCTCTCACTCAAGCTGAACGTCTGTACACTCCTCTCTTAAGTTCTATTCAATAGCTTTTAACCAAGCTAATAACCTGTTATGCTATTACCTTACCAAAACAAAATAGATAAAATTATGCATTTCTGAACCCAATTTTCAACCCCTTCGAAGATTCTTTTTTAGTTCTTACAATCAGAGAAAATATTCCTTCACTCACTTATTTTCTTAAGGCTACACATCCCACAAGTTTCATCTTATTTTAATTATGATTCCAGCTCCTTTATATTCTATTCGAGCGTTGACCCAACATCTCATAAAACTTGTCATACACCCACATTACTCACAAAATAGTAGAAAATCACAACCTTAGATACTCACAAGTCTTTATTACATACACAATTTATTTAACCAACAAATTCTAATCATATACTTTCATCCCAATTACAAATTCTCACGAATTTTTATTTTCCATCATGCTCAGTTAACCCTTTTATCACCATGAAGTGAACCTTTTCCTCGATCTAACACTTTAAACTTAGGTATACCAACCAAATTCAAGGGACTAACCCAATTTATATGCACTTTCTTGCTAAATCTTCAATTTAGTTTACTCAAGTATATCCACTAGGACTTTCTTTCCCTATAAGTTTGTTATTTTAGTATCAATCTACCTTTTGAAGCTTAAGATAAAATCGTCAGTACTCATTCAGAACCCTCAAATACATTTCACAACCTAAATGTATTAATATTGTACCAAAGATCCACCACTAAAGATTTTCTTTAAAATAATGCTCAACAACTAAAATTTTCCTTCAAAATAATGCTCAATCTAAGTTCTTGTAGTAATAAACTAGTTGATTTCTCAAATATGAATGCAACACTAAATCTTATTATTTGACCATGTCGTAAAACTTGTAACTCCTTTAGTAATTAGTATTCATACTTGACAATCGATGTACCTGCTTCCACATAACCCTAGTACTGCCACACCGTGAAAGTCCGTTAGATACCTCACTAGAACACATCATACCTGTCCATATTATCGTACCCAAATAGCCCACATATTTCTAACCATTGAATAATTGCAAAACATTATCGAATATGTTCTCTTTCTAGACCAAACAATTTGTTTTACTTCTTAGATCAATTCAATAACAAAACTAACACACTTTCTAACTCCATCGATGACTTTCTCTAATATACCTCACTCAATGAAGTCATAATAGTGTCTTTATTAACCGACACTCGACATGAGACAACCACCACATTTTGCGATCGAGAAAATATATCTATTTCTAAGGACATTTTTTTTTCTGCTGTTGCTATTTCAACTTCAAATACTCTAGTAGTACCCATATTTGAAATAGAGTGAAGAAGTTCAGATACCAATTTGTATCACCTAAATACCAATTGGATTCAAGTAGTAGCACGAAAGTAAGAAAGAAATGAGCTATCCTAAAGTCCTATAGCTTCTCGAAGAAAAGTAAAGGCGTCCCCTTACCATTCCGCAAGACTCTACTAGACTTGTCCTTGTGTGATGAGATCAACGAACCTAACGCTCTGATACCAAGTTTGTCACAACCCAAAACGAGTCGTGAGTGGCACCCACACTTACCTCCTTAAGTGGGTGAACCAACACATCTAAACCCCAACATATACCAATAGTTCAACTATAAATAATATCAATAATGCGGAAGCTCCAAAAGATACTAAGCAACTAATTTAAATAAGTTTCTAAAGTTTAATACTTATCATCCCAAAATCTGATAGTCATCACATCAACGACATCTAATCTCCAATACTAAGTCTAAGAATATCGAATACACTAAAATAAAGAATAAAATGGTATGTGTCCGAAATATAGGACATCATGTCATTACCGAGAGAATCCAACACGAGCTTGAATGGATAGCTCACCATGTAACTTGATATGCGGGAAGCTGGATAGAGCTGATGGAAATCAGAAGTCATAGGTACACTCGCTGCATTTCATAAAAGGAAAACAAAAAAGAAAACAAGAGGACTCAGTACGAGGCAACATGTACTGAGTAAGTATCATCGGTCAACCCAAAATAGTAACTAATATACAATAAATAATAGTATGAACTCAACTATAGCACTTAACATGTGATAAGCAACAAACAACATGAACAAGTGTCAATAACAATAAAGTAAGCACGTAGTAAGTCAACGGTATCAATATCACACATGAGGACTCATGCCTCCAAGCCAAACCATTTTGGGAGTTGAGTTCTCTGAGATTGAGTATCTTCCATTAATTTAACATGTTTTTCCTTTAATATGATCGTGTCGGAACGTGACACTCCGATCCAAGAATATCGTGTCGGAACGTGACACTCCGATTCAAGAATACCGTGTCGGAACGTGATATTCCGATCCAAGAATATTGTGTCGGAACGTGACACTCCGATCCAAGATATCATTAGTTTATCATTTAGTATCACCACTTTTCCATTCGTTAATAACATTTCATCTAGCCTTCTTTATTCAAGGCATTACTTCGATAGAGATGGTTTAAGATTATACATTCTACGGTCTCGGAATTTCAGACCAATCACAAAACATACGACCAAGCCACACAATCACACAATCAAGTACATAGAAAACTTCACAATATCATTCAATGCATATCAATCACTATTAAGAGTTTACTATCAAATAGCATAAACCATAACTTACCTCTACCGAAGAACCAAAGTCAAGCAATTAATTCTTCAATGCTTTTCCTTTCCTCAATGTTTTGAACCTTTCAATCTAGCAAATATATATACATAATTTGTAAGTTAACAAGCCTATAACCATCCATATTATTCTACGTCTAGCCTAGACCCAAAAATTCACCTAAATCTATAATAAATTCCTAAAGTTCAAACCTAAGGATAAGTCCAAATTTCTCCAATTAGCATAACTTTAATGGGATTGAAATAATTCGATACACATAATATTGAATTACCTATCTCAATATATAACGATATAATTTATAGAACAAAAAAAAATATCCTCAGGTTGATATAAGTTAATTATAGACCACTAGTGTTAACCACAAAATCATCTCTGTCATCTAAGTCGCTATATTGTTTTACTTTCCTCTAATCATCATATTATAAGTGTATAATAATCTTCCCCCTTATTCAGTTGTGATGATGTATGACTGAATTGACATAAAAAAAAAACAAAAGTGGCAGTCACTTTTGTTGCCACGTCAATTTGAGAACAACTTCACTTTGATACAACTTACTAGTATCAAAGTCTATCCATGCACATTATTGATTACAATTAATTTACAACACTGCTATTTCTTCTAATCTTGCCATTAATTTCCATAAATTGACTAACATTCACATCCGAACCATTACTCCAAAAATTTCTTCCAAGTCCAAGCCATTTAAGTTACTAGCTATTAACGAAAGACAATTATCCATCAAGTTATTCATATTCACACCACCTATGAGAAATTTTATACTCTAATCTCTTTTCAACCAACACCAATGTAATAATAGTATTCATAAAACAAACATTAACCATTTTACTAACCAATAATTGTACATAAACAATATTTAATTAGAATTATCAAACATTACCTGAATGCAGAGCCGACATTCTTCATTATCAAACAGTATGTTTTCTCTCTTCCTAATTAGTTCACCTTATAATAATATTTTAACTCCTCAACTCACCATGATTTCAATAGCCTTTAATAAATATTCTATACATATGCACCCTTTAACTTTATAATATAATATAATAATGTAATTGTTGCCTTAAAACTCGTCCTATACAGCTAATGATCATTGCCATTGTTAAATTATTAATCCTACAATCTATAATCATACATATAAAATATACGAAGATTAATTCCTTACCTGAAATTGTCGTCCTTCTTCGAGGCTGCTCTGCGGTCTCCCTTTTCTTATTTTCTTCCTTTTTCTAAAGACAAACTTCAACCTAGTTATCATATAATCAACTATACAATCTGATAAAAGTGACCCACTATTTATTTTAATATTATTTTCTTAACCACTAACTAAATAAATTAATAAAACTACCCCATTAATTTCATAGTTATAATTATGAATAGTCTAAAACACCCATTTAAATCTATTAGAAAGTATTTTCTGACATAAAAGTTCTAATGCTCAAAACGATCGAAAATGGTCGTTACATAGGATCCTTCTATTATTTTTTATTTTTTGACTTAAAGTAATTAAAGTAGTATTTTCAAAAGTACTTTTTAAAAATATTTTTTTAAATTAATATAAATATGCTCGTAGTAAAAAAAATTTTACTTATCTAAGATTGAGAACTGCTGGATATGGTCCACTATTTTAGACTTTAGAGATGAGAATTGATAATCAAACATGTCTGTATCTTATACATAACACTCAAATGACATGTTTTTATCTTAATAAAAGTACTTTACTGAATTAAATGTGTAATATATGAAATAAAAATAAAATAAAAATCTAATAGAAATCAACAACAACAAAAAATGAACGTAATATGCAAGTGAAAGTATTTTATATTGATTTTTATTATTTGGTATCAGAGCCAAAAAAATTTGTATTATTAATGGTATTATTATACTAGTAAAATGATAATTCTAAAATTTTAGTTCAAGTCGTCATCTCGCGATTGATGGATATTACAATTATAGATATATATTAATCGAGAAGGTCTAAAAAAATTTGTAGTGATATTGCTTTGTCTGAAGTAAGTGAAAAAATAGAATTGAGAGTATAATATTAAACATTTCAAAGCAAAAAATTATCTTTTTCAAATTATTAATTGCTCAATAAAGAAAACTAGGGGTGAAACTATTGTGTAAGAGGAAAGTTCGGATAATTCAATAACTTTTGCATAAATTCTATATTTATAATAAAAAGATCAAACTCATTGGTGGTCCCCTAAAACTGGCACCAAGTTTCACATAGGCACCTCAACTTGACGATATTCGTTTTACACACTTTAAGTAGGATTTTATCATGTCATTTTGACACTTTTTGCTGAGTTGGCATATTATGTGTGTGACACTTTTTTGAGCGCGTAGAAAGCATATTTTTATGATTTTTAAACTTTTTTTTATGTATTTTTCTTTCTTCTCTCTCCTTCCCACACTTTCTCCATCATATACCATCACCTTGCCACCATTGTATATTCAACTTTCTCTTCTCTTTGTCATTTCTTGACATGAAAAATTAAATTAATTATATATATCAACAAAAATAATTTAAGAAAGGATCAAAAAATATGTCTAGAGCATATATGTGTTTCATGATATCAAATTTTGCCACCTAATTTTTTCATAGTTTAATTGTCGGAAAGTTTACCGAATTCTTCAAATGTTGTTGGTCTATTTTCACCTCTCTCTATTTGAGTTATTTTTTTCAGATTCAATTTTTGAAATACTAATTTTCTACTTCTTTAAATTTTGAACTTTTTTTATTTTGATGAACTCATTGCAAGTAAATTCATAAATAGATATGATTTTATCATGGATAATTTTTTGTGGGTACTTCGAAACTTTCAAAACGAGCAGTTTCAATGGTGAAGGTGATTGAAGAAAAAAAAGATGAATTAGAAGGATTGAAGAGATGGTAATAGTATGATAGTTGGATTATAGATATTTATTGATGACACAAATTGATTATATAGATTTTAAGAAAAAGATTATAGTTATGATAATCTTCAAACTTGAAGAAGAAGACATCAAAGTAATAGTGGTTAGAAGAGGATGAGATGTGAAAATGGTGAAGGAACGATAATGGTAGTTGAGAAAAGTAAAGGTGTTGTAGATTTTTTTTTTCTTTATTGAAAGGTAATTTTTAAAGTAATTAACTAATTAAACAATTTTAAAATGAATTTTATTCGTAATATAATTTTTAAATTTTTAATATATATGTCACATGTCATTATTTAATTCGCTACTTTGACACGTCATCGGCAAGTGTAATATACACATCATATATATTTAGTTGGTTGTCAAAAACGTGTCAATATGACACAACGTCTCCCTAATTAAGGTGTTTAAAATAAAAAAAAAAAGATCTATTTAAGGTGTCCAAGTGAAAGTTGATGCCAACTTTAGGTGGCTACCGATGGGTTAGGCCTATTAAAAATGATAGTGAATATAACAAATTTATAAGTGAAATACCCACTAACGAAAAAAGCATATGATTCAATGTAAAGAATCATGTTTTTGATAACAATCAAATAGAGTTTTTGATTAACAACATCCTTAAATTGTATCCTCAAACTTAAACTACATCCTTAAATTATCCTTCTTAATAAAAAACAACTTTCAAGTATTTAAAACTTAACAATTTTCACACCTCTAGTAAAATTTGACAAAAAATTAGCGAATTTCGCACAAAAAAATATGCAATTCATTATTCTAATAAAAAAAGTGTATTATATTATTACCGGTTGAAAAAAACATCCAAAAAAATAAAATAAAATTGAGACTCATGTTTGCTGTTAAAAAAAAAATTATGACGGTGTGAGTTTACGAGGAAACATGATTTGCTCTTCTCATTTATCAACTAAATGGAGTTGGAGCTTAGTTTCACACTATCTTCACTTTACAAAGTTAAAATGTTGTTATATCAATAATATTTTTGGGGCAAATTGATAATTGAGGTGATCAAGATTCAGGTAATTTTGATCTCTAGTACTCAAGTTTCATTTTTCATTATTAGAAGTAAAAGACTCCGACCGACACCATTTTTTTTTACAGATTTAATGAAAAGAAAAAATTTCCAATGATAATTCTTTGATATTAAATCAAATGAAAAGTAAATAAAAATAAAATTGCTAATTAAAAGAAAGACAATGCAAAACGTTGTTACTAAAAAAATGATATTATTTTAAATGTATGTAGAATGAAGAGAATTGATTTATTGTGGTGATTTAGAGAGTTTAAAAATTGTTGAGAGTAGTGCGAACCGTACGTATTGTTGTGAAGAAATTGTTAATTTTTGATAAATTTTAACATAAAAATAAAAGTTGTGAAATTTTAAATAATTGTAGAATATATTTTGTTTAAGAAAAATAATTTAAAAATATAATTTAAGTTAAGAGTATAGTTTAAATATATTTTGGGTCAAAAATCTTTATTTGAAACCATTAGCTTCACCTATTATTTTATTTTTATCTATACGCTTTCCATTTATTTTTTCATTAAAAGAAAAACATAATTTTAGATATTTATTCTTTGGTTGCATAATTTTTTATTAGAAATTTTGTTCAAATTTTTTTTTTTAAAAAAACAAAACATAAAATTTACAATAAGAAATAAAACCTCGACCACTTACTATTATTTCTTTTCTCTGTTTCATAAATGCAATTTAAAATCAGATTTTTAAGAAGAGTTAGTTCAATGACACTTATTCATTAAATTATTGAGACTATTATATACAGTGGCGGAGTTAGGAATTTCTTAAAGGATGTTTAGAATTAGCGACTTATTATATTAAGGATGTCTAAAATATATTATTTTATCATTTCGTATGTCATTTTACTTATATATATATACTAATCTTTTTCCGACGAAGAATGTCCAATACCTTAACAATATACATCACTGATTATATATTATTGTAAAAGATATGAAATATTCCTTCATACCGAACACACTTTAAAAATAGAAAATAATAAGAAAAATATTTGTAATTTAAGAATATTTTTTTTTATATAATCAAAAGTAATGAATACTATGAATATTCATTTATCCGTTTATTTATCCATTCTTTATACGTATTATACATGTATGGCTTAAATATTTTAATGATTTTTACCTAATTTATTATTAATTCATTGGTATTCGATTTAACCCACCTAATTTTACTTGACTTGGCATTTCTATATGTTATACTTCTACATGAGTCTATATAGGCATCCTAGTCCAAACACCAAATTTTGCATAATTAATTCTAACTTATCGCAACAAATTTTATATCAATTTTTTTATTATTATATTATTATTTTATATTTTATTTATATTTTCTTATTTTATAAAACAAATCATTTCTAAAACAATCATCATATATAATTTATATTATTTTCTTTTATAATCGTTTAATATAAAATTATTTGTACCATATTTTTTAAATAATATAAATTGTTAGTAAATATTATACATTATACATAATAATGAATAGTACAAATAAAAAAGTGAAATCATTAATGAAATACGATTAAATAACCATTACATAATTGAAAAAATTATTTAAATTCTACATAAATATTCAACTTTCAAGATTACTACGGTGCTCCCATAAATGCTCTATTAATGCATTATGTAGTTCAAAATGAACTTCTTTGTTCTTTATACTCCCTCTGTCTCTATTTACTTTTCCATATTTCCTTTTATATTTGTTCCTAATTACTTGCCCATTTTAACAAATCAAGAAAGGACAATAATTTTTTTCCTAATATGCCATTATTTAATTCTAAAAAAGTTTTAGTACTACTAAGTTGTAATGCATGCTTTTTGGAACCAAAAAATACATTTATTATACGTGGAGAGTTGCATAATCTTTTAAGTTAAAGGTAAAATTGTAACTAACCTATGATAATAATTAGTGTCTTAATTTTTTATATCGAATTAGAAATTGTTGAAATCAATAATTTCATCTATTGTCGTTTCTACAATCGGGGTTGGACCTTTAGATGCATCTTGAATCGGTGCATTAAGATCAACACTCATCTATCAAATTATTAAGTTATTGTTTTTTTTTAATTATTATATTTTGTTGTACTTTTTAAAATTAATAGGTATTTATATTTCAATTTTGATTTATGTCAATTACTATTTTGTTGAATGTTTATTATTTTCGGTTATTTTTAATTATATTGTACTATTTATTTCCAAATATATACGTTTGCATTTTGAATTTTTGTGAAGGTTAATTATATTGTAGTTTACATAATTTATAGTAGAATTAATATAAATTTAATTTTTTTTAAAAGGTC